TCTCCATGTTCATGCCTGCCATAGAAAGTCATATTTTACCATAAAGAACAACTCTGAACATGATGTGATTAACCTTTAGGGTCCCCATCCTCTCATCTGCAAACCCACCTCATGCTTGGCCTATGCTTTCTACTAATGTTCAGCCAACTGATTTCCATATCACCCACTCACTCTCACCAGGGGGCATTAACATAGCAGAGCTGTACCGTGACTTTGATTGAAGCCAGCTTAGGCTGAATGCAGTATCAAAGCATAATTTAGCAGAAATCAAATCTAATTTACTGCATATTGTATTTACATTCTCAAAATCCATGTCAAGGGAACAGTGCCAGACCTCTGATCTTAACTGACCTTTTTATATTTGGGTCTACTTCTTTGGAAATGGCACAGCATACTTTTTTATAGAGCTTTTGTTCCTGAGTTGTGATGACTATACCCGGAATTGGGCCACTCTGTTTTCTTCATCTTGCTTCTTGTTCCAGCTGCAGCAATAAAATATAATCCCTGAACAAATTAAGCCAGTAGGTTATTACATCATAGTTACAAAAGGTTCATCTAATGTTTTGGGGTTTTAGAGAGGATATAAATATGCATTTTATAGTCTTTTGTCTTAGAAATACATAAGAGAATTGTCATTTCTAGAACCAGCCTATTCTTCTGGAGTTTATAACTGAATCTTTTCAACTCACATTGGGTTAAATGTGTGTTTTGAATTGTCATCTTGAGGACCTAATCATGTTTTCTTATATTTAATGAGAGCAACCACAGGGAATCCATTTCATGTATAGCAAACTTTGTGCCATTGAACTGTGTTGATAAAATTCCATCTCTTTGCCTAGTCCCTCCCATTGGTGCCATCAGCCACATACTGTCTTTCAAACCATTTTTACTGCCACCTGGCAAAAACACTGGAACTGTGAAGTGTTATCAGAAGAATTATTAATGCAGTTTTCATTTTGTAACTTCAAAACTAAATTCCTCCAGCTGATATCCCTTCACCAAAGATTGTAATATAGATCTTCAGCAGAGAGAGTCTAGAAAAGTAAAAGTGATTGTTGCAATTCATTTCTTGGTCCTACTTCAGATGACAATAGAAAAGAATGAACATTTTCAGAGATTAAATACTCTTTAAATATTTTGCTTTGTTAAATGCTTTAATATCTTAATTTTTAATTTAAGTATATGGTAATATCATTCCAATTCCAAAGAGGTGATTATGGCTTCAGTTCTGGTGACAAGGAACTACTTGGTACATTACAAATGCACTATATTTATAACACCTTGGAATGAAAGTGCAATATAATAAAAATCACGTAAAAGGATATTTCATAGCATGAATAACACTAATGCTGATAACAGTTTGTTAGAGGTCTTTAAAAATTTAATATTGGGTAAAAACTCAAATTATAGTAATTTTCTGGTGTTTTAAGATTATGTCATTAGTAGTAAACATTATGTTTTGATATTGCAGAATTCCCTTGCCCTTTAAGAATTCTGATGAGATGTTCTCTTTAGGTGCAACTGTGAATTGCAATTCTCAACTGAATTTTTTGCCCCATCTTGCTGAAGTTTTCTAAACTTTTCTCCTTTAAATTTTGTTCTTTCTAAAACACAAATCTCGTTATATCTTTCCTAAACATTTTGAACAGATCTCCGTACTTTTCAGGGCAAAAATTAAGATCTTTTAACAAAGTTAAATTATTTGGCCCTACTTATATCACTTTTGCAACCCTGATTTTATTCTTAAAAGTCATTTACACTCCCAGTTCCACAGGCCCATATTGATTGCTTTCTTTCCCAGGTGACTTTATTCCTGTTGCTCTAGTTATCTGCTCGTGCATCCAAACACAACTCAAGCATGGCCATCTCTCGACATCTTTCCTCTTCTTTCCTCATCACCTGGTGTGGTTTGCTGCTTTTCTATGCTTTCTTCCCCAATGCCCTCTGCATTTTCTATTATTATGGAAATCATAGTCAACTGCATTCTATTTTATTTATTTACTTATTTACTTAGAAGTCTCTGCCATTAGCCAGAACAACTTTTTTTTTAATTTGGCTTTCCATCCCTTGTATCAAGCAGAAGGTCTCATAATTTTGAGTCAGTTAACACATTTTGAATGAATAAATGGATGTGTCATATATTTTAAGCAAAGTAGACGCATAGATGTAGTCATTTGTCAATTCATATTTGGGGGGCTGTGTTTTAACATGGTGTTAAAATAGTAAGTTCTGATTCCAAAAGTATTTTGCAAAGTCACTCATCTAACCGTATAGGTTTTGTAAACTTGAAAAATCAAATTCAAGGAAGGCTGACATTATATTCAAAGTGCAGATGGTAATTTTACTATAATAGATACAGAGTAAGCATAATATCCTTAAAGCTATAAAATATGTTTGCATTATTTTCATTTGCTGTTTCATTTGATGACTTCAATCATGTGTATTCTGTTATTACATTTTAAAGATTAAAGAAGAACTTTATAGCTCATATGGGCTCAAAGTTTTTACTAATTAGTTATATGAGGAAATTCAAATTGTTTCTGGTCCAAACAGTACAAATGAACTAATAAGCTGAATATGTAACTTTTACCAAAGACTGTTAACTGATTTTTGACTGAACTGACTTTTTATTTTTTTTATAATGAGAGAGAATCTAAGTTTCTCAATACTTTTTTGCTTCATTAATGTCCATATTGGCACTAAACTTTTCTTTCATGGAATTAGTAACAAGTAAAGAACTATACATTGAATTTTAACTTTTTCTTAATAGATACAATTTTTCCTTGGATATTATTGATGATAAAGACCACTCTTAATTTTTTTTTATATGAATATCTGGTGGTTTCATACCTTTCCTGAAAAATGAACACTGTAGTTTTAAAAATTGTTCCTGAAGTAGTTTTTTAACATTGATTAAACTATCATTCTTACTAGAAAACATGGAACAATAAAATCAATGTACCAGCTGATTGAGTGGAATTGTGTAGAAATAACAAGAAGATTGTGTGAAGCAAGAAATCTCCTGAAAATGCAAGGCAACATAAACCATATGCTGTTCAAATAGATCCATAAATCTGAGTTCTTTATTCAGTTAAACTGAGTCTTCTGTTATCTATAGTTATAGTAGATATTTTCACTTAATAGATTTATAACTTCTCTCCCTGGGGTATGTGTTGAATGTGTTGAATTAGGAAGCAGTAAAATGGAACACCAAAAAAATAAGTCACCACAAATTTCAGTGGCTTTTAAAAAAATGCTGCTGCTGTTTCTCCGCTAGCATTCTTGTAAGAATGAGTAATTGGCTGTACATTTGAGGCTACCCTATATTTACTCCGTTCTTGGACCTGCACTATTTACTCCTGAAGAACTGAAAGGATTCTGGGTAAAGGCCTTTCCTGAATGAGTGTCACTTATTGTTAGACTTTTTCAGAGTTCAAATTTTGGGATTGTTGCCATGTACACCAGGTTCTAAAAATTAGATTTGATTTTAACATTTTTTCTTGGTCTTAAGTTTTCGAGCATGAGCCATGGGTTAAAGTGGAAACAGATGATTAGAAAAGCCGTGAAGTAAACATACTGTTTTTTCCTTCAATGGGAATGGCTCTGTTTGAAGAAGATGTCCTTGTGAGAACTTCCAGTTTTACTGTCTACTTTACAACTAACCCCCAGTTTAAACCTGAACTTTCCTGGGATTTTTACCACCAGGACCCCCAACTCTGCCTGTCTTCTTTTCTTTTGAAGTTACTTGTGAAGAGCTCTCAGTATTTTTCCCTCTACCATTTCACTAGTTTTCCCGCCAGACTTCCTACCTTGTCCATGAATGCACCCCCCTCACAAGCTTTACTACATTCAGGAGAGGGTTGAAGCTTCCAAAACTTTTTCTTTGCACTTATTACTCCTCAATTTGGAAAGAGTCTGAAGCTAGTGTGGCTTCTCAGGACGGTCTTTGACTGGCCCTATTTCTGCTGTATTGCACACTGTGCACTAGATGTGTTTTTGCTTCTTGTACCTGGCTCAGTGAGCTCCACTTATCTGAATGCCACCTTTTCCTCAAACCCCCATAATACTTCTGCATAAAGTGTTTCTCAGCTACCGGAACACACAGGGATTCCCTCCCTCCTGAAGTCCCATCACATTTATTATGTGTTGTATAACTGAAATGCTCCTCTGCTCTTCTCTGAGAGCACCTGCATCATAGAATTTACCTAGTTTTAGATGCTGTTTTAGGTTTGCTGCTGTTGTTAACATTGTTAACATGTATTGTCTTTTACATTAAACTATGAGTTCCCTGATGGCTGCATGACCAGTGCTTTTTTTCTTTGTGTATTTAGTGCCTAGAAGGGGAATATAGTAATTATTTCACTGATTCCTATGTATCTAAATGAAATGAAATGAACTAAGTAGAATCAACTATTTTCATACATTTATTTATAATATTATTTATCTGTATATGTAATCCCCTTCCCTCCAATTCTTCAATGTCTTCAACACTTCAGCTCTTCAGTTCTGCAATATAAGCACTTTGAGAATAGGGATCATACTATATGCCTCAGGTACCCCTGTGACTAGTACCATGCCTTACAGATATTATAAAAATAAACAATATTTTCAACAAATGAATTTCATAGAAAGGAAATGTTTCAGTAATGGAGTGATTATTTCCTATCTTGATCTATCCAAAACACAAAAGTAAATTGGGAAATGACACCTTTCCTTAAAAACACTAGAATATCATAAAAATCTTTTTTTATGCCACCTTATGGCCTATGAGATTATAATGTACACCATTTCCAATGTGTCAATTAGTAAGTTTACATCTTTCCTGTGATACAGTGCTGTTTTCCTCTCCCCAGTGTTCTGAGAAATGCTTAAAAATAAGTCAAATGGTAGAGCCTCTGTCTGGCACTGAGCAATCCACCTAGTACCAGACTTGCCCTGTGATTATCTTTTACTTTGTCCACAGTTTATATTTACACACTTTCTTTCCTTTTAAATTATAGCTCCTCCACAGTTTGTGGTTAGGCCAAGAGATCAGATTGTTGCACAAGGGCGAACAGTGACTTTTCCCTGTGAAACTAAAGGAAACCCACAGCCAGCGGTTTTTTGGCAAAAAGAAGGCAGCCAGGTGAGTGTGAGCTTGACTGCTTCTCCGAACTCCCCCTCCCATCTCTGGTGATCCTCCACATTTGCCTTGTCTTTCCGGTTGTCAGTGTGGATTCACTTTAATTCCAAAACAGAAATCGTTCATTTTAAACTAAATGGGAGTTAGATGTTCTAATAGAACATGCTTTATTTTCCAGTATTTTCTGAAATTCTGTATCTTATATAGAATACATACAGTTCAGTGAAACTAAATTATCTTTAAAATTCTAACTAAAACTGTGCCTATTTAAAGTTTCTGAAGAGAAAGCAATATTGTTTTCTATCACTGAGCTACCTTGGGATGATTAGGCAACATAAGCATTTAGAACATCATGTCTTTATATGTAGTTCCATTATTAAATGGCTGGGAAACCAATTTCAATTATCTTTCATAGGTACGTAGTATAAATAAGGGTTTTTATCATTAAGTTAAGCATTCTTCTGTTTAACAGTAGGAGAAATATTTTGTTCCATCATTGCTTCTGGAGTCCACAGTGTGGTTGGACAGAGAATAACAGATTACACATCAGAAACAATCAACACTTGTTTGGTCTTTGCTGGGCACTGGTGGGTCCTCTCTGGGCAGAAATTCTCGGATTCTGTGCTAAACTCAATTGGATATGCAACTTTTCTCATTTAAGACTGGGTCCAAACACTGACAACTACTTAGCCTCTTGGTTCTGAGGTTATGTTTGGAATTCCCAGCTTAAACCAGATCAGAAATTATGTTCTTTGTCTAAGAGTTTATCTGTGCATTCCTGAGGCACCTAGACATACTTTATTTGGACATTCCAGAGTCCTTGGTGGTAACCAAGGAGGCATATAGTTCCAAGGAAGAAACCTACTGGTGCACCTCAGCACCTTCCATTGTGTGTCCAAGTTCTGGAAGATTAAGGGAAACCATGATTAAGAGATTCAGAAGAAGTAAAAACTTTGCCAGGAAATGGGGAAATGTTTGAGACTTTATTAAGAGAACCTGTTGATCAGAACTCAGATAGGATCACCTGGGTAGAGAGGTACCAAGAAGTCCCCCTCTGCCATCTTATTTAATTGTTTTGGATCCCTACATATTCTTGTACCATCCAAGCTAGCAGTTGAATCAGCTTGATGTGGATGGGTGCAGTGTCTGTCTGCCCTCCCCGAATGTGTCTTGTTGCAGTTGCTCCCCCTGAAGTGAATGGTATGTAAAGACAGTGACGGGACAATAAAGTTCTGACAACTGCCTTACCCCACATCAGAATCACTCCAAGCCTTAGTTTCTACTTTCTTAAAATCAGTTTTTAACTATACAATTGGTATCTACTCATACAATTCCTTGATTCTTAGCATCAAAATTACTCTTGGGTGAAAATATCACAAACTCTAGAGTGTAAAAAGACATGAGCTATTACAACACACAACCTGAAAAAAGAAAGAATTCTAAAGCCATCACCCCCTATGATTATACAGTCTTCGTAGTGCTAATTGGCTTTACTGAAAATTAATTTTCTTAATCTAAAATATGAGGATAATACATTTTACTTCACATAAGTTATGAAGATGTTATGATTAAGTTTAATGTAAAAGTGCATTACATATTATGAAGATCAACAAAGTGTTATTTCTAACATCAAGGTAGAAATTAAAAAAATGCAGAACACACCTGCTTTCTCCAGTGTTCTGGCTGAAGTGGCAAGTTCATGCTTCTGCTCAGGTTAAGGCTGTGAACGTCTGACATCTTCCTCTGCCTGGACACTATTGTCCAGGACCAAGGAGAGGCTCAGCACCACTCTGCTCACCTCTGCTCCCAGTGCCTGAGGTGGCAGGGACCGGTGACCCTCAGTGAGTCCCGGTAACTGCAAAATTCTTCCTCCTACCTGTAACTCCCTCCCTCGACCTCAATGGGAGCTACAGGGTATGTAGAATTACCCCCTTGAGCTGCTTATAGTAAATACAGTGGTATAAATATATTATTAACATTATGCAAAGCAATTTGAATGTTGCAAATTTACACTTTAAGTCCATGTATTAAAATCAGATCCCATTACAGCATCTCCAATTATATAGATACAGCTTATATCATGTATGAATCATGTGTCCTAAAATAGCCCCAGATTTATGTAAGATATTGCATAAAATATGCTTTGGTCCCATGGCCAAGTAAACATGATATTTAAATATGCTACACTGTGTTTTAATGGTGTTTAAAGAAATAATGCTCAGTCTCAAAATACTTATTTTCCTGTTATTGACAAAGTGTTATGTAATTCCAGAGATATTAATCTCTGGACAAATGTTTCCAGTTAGATAATTTGATTTGATTTTTGTCTTAGGTCTGCCCTCTTTTATTCACCTGTCTTCCTCACATCAGGAAGAGGAGAGGAACAGAGACAGAGACAGAGACAGAGAGGCTGTGAATGTGAACGGAAGAGAAGTGCTTGGGCAAATTGTAAATTTTCAAATCATGAATTGGGGTATCATGAAAAATCGATCAGTCTTTCTCTAGTACCCAATTTTTACAGTGATCTATGACTATCAGTAGAGAGAGTTAAGAGCCTAGACTTAATGGTCCATATTCCTCAATATGTGCTGATAATGCCAATTAGTACTAATAGGATGCCCAGGCACTTCAAAGCAAGAAGAGCTCTGTACAAGTCCTAAGCTTTGCTTGTAATCTATTTTCTTTTACCTAAGTCATAGAAGCAGGGAATAAAACATGATGGGTTAACCTCAATCATATGCCATTTTTCATGTCAATGAATCATTTTGAAGGTGGACTAATATTACATTGTAGAGGAAGAGATCCCAGAGAGAATTAAACCTATCTGATGTATTAGTGCTATGTAAATTAGTATTCTAATGGCTAATTGTAGGAAAGTGCACACTTTGAGTTATTGTATCATTTTCAAGTCGCTTTAAAATTTAGACCCTTCTTTTTCAGATGGTTTATTTCAGTAATATATTTGGATTCTGTAGGAAAATTAACTTGTTCTCAAATTATCTTTCATATGTATGAAAATGCCTAGCCTTATAATATACATTTTATTACAGGGCAATAGCACTTTGAAATTACATTCCTGAAATGCTAGCAAACATCACTTCTTTTAGAAAGGGTTTAACAACACGGTAATGTTTATGTAAAGTGGGCTTATAGTGTCACACTTGAATCTAATAAAGTGGACATTCATCATGTTGCAATAAAGAGAAGAGCTTCTAATTAAAGTAGGACATCATTCTCAGGATTAAAGTCATTTAGCGTAATTGAAAAGTGTTAATACCCTATTTTATCCTCTTCCATTGGTATTACTTCAAGGGTAAAAAACATTTTAAGGTGAAAATGTATCTTATGCTTTAATTGAATGTTATTACCTCCTGATTGTAACGTATTGAAACTGTTTAATTACAAACCTGGAAAATAAATTACTATATTGAGAAACAGACCACAGAGGGTTATAATATTCTGTTTTGTAAATAAGTATAACATAAAAATTGATACATCCTTATTTATAATCTAACTTAGAAATATATCTCAATGATTTATTACAGCCAAATGTATTTCTTAATTGAATAACAGTAAGCAACATAGGTCATGGAAGTTAATGTTACTGCTCTCATAAAAAATTTTAATTGTGATTAGGCTGCTTGTATTTAATATAAGATATACAGTACACTAAATTTTCAAGAAAGTACACCTATATAATTCTTTAAGATTACATACATACTTCAGAAACATTCTTCACCTTCTTTTTATTTTCACTGACTTGCTTAATCTGGCTTGCTCTACAGCATTCATTCCTCATTCATTTCAAGGGATTTACTATCTGCAGAAACCTTACAGCAGAAGCAGATTTGGTTCTGTGTCAGTCTCCATCACACCTTTTTTTGGAAACACCTTTAAGAGAAAGTCTGTTAATTACATCAAATATTAAAAGTGATCAGCAGAAAGTATATTTTGCATTCTTTAGTCTCCAGTCTATAAAATATATAGTTAATGTTACATTCCAGATTCTCAGTGTCTATGAGTTGAGTCAGATAAGCATTATTCACCTATTTTACAGATGGTCCAACAGTGTTTCAAAGATACTAAGTAATTAATGAAATTCAGGGAAAGAATAAATGGTGAAGATCCCTGTTTTTCAGATGATTGTTCCTTCAACTAGTACATGCTGACTTCTTAGAACATGTTGTTATTACCTCATTTGGGAAAAGTTTCTCAGTTAAACACACTATGTGGAATTAAATTATTTCAGCATTATGTTTTTCTTCAAATCTATGTATTTTCTTGTTGCAACTACATTTTGTATAATTGCAGTCAATGTTGTTAATATAATTTTCTTTCCAAGAGGGGAAAGCATACTGATGAGATTGTGTTTGCTTCCACAGAACCTGCTTTTCCCAAACCAACCCCAGCAGCCCAACAGTAGATGTTCCGTGTCACCCACTGGAGACCTTACGATCACCAACATTCAGCGTTCAGACGCAGGCTACTATATCTGCCAGGCCCTAACCGTGGCAGGAAGCATCTTAGCAAAAGCTCAGCTGGAAGTTACTGATGGTGCAGTATTATTAGATTTGTCTTATGAAAATTATGGTTTTTATTTCAAGATCCATATTTGACCATGTGAAATTTTCTGATTTGTTAAATTATTTTAATTAATTCTTATCCCCTTAGTTTGAATCTAGGTGAAATAACATTTTTAATAGTTTCTAGTTCTCTTTGATTTAATAGCATTTATTTTCCCAAAGAATATCCAAGACAATCTATTTATGCTCAAAAACATAATGATCCAAAATTTTAAAGAAATGACTTCATACTCCCATTGTATAGACACATTATCTGTATATTTTATTTAGTCTTTTGAAGACATCATTGCTTTTAATAGATATTAATTTATTTTACTAGAAGAGAAAGATAGCATCTTTAATATTATCGGTGGGAATAAAGATGAGCTTTTAGTTAGCTATGACATCCTATGACTTTTTAATTATACATTCACTATGTTAAATTAGTTAAGCACCTTCCAAACTACTGCTGGGTGCTAAAATTATTATTATTTTTGCACACATTTACTATGAATCTTAACTGAAGCACCTACAATCCTAGTGAAAGTTGGAAAAGATGCAAGACTCTTCATAGTCTGATTTTTTCCCCAAGAGCTTGTCTCAAATGACAGGTAGCAAAATATAAATATTTTGTTAACCTCTGAACATGAATTTAAGCCCTATTGTTTGATGTTTTAAATTAATTTTTTTCCTGCTTTCCTATATTTTTGAGGTTTGTGGGATTTTTTTTTTCCTTACACTGTGAATCTGAGATACAAGACCATTGGTCTTTGACCTCTCTGATTCTCTTCTTTCCTTGCTGGTGAAATTTGATGTGCTTTCCTACAATTCACATTTAAATGTAGATTAAAAAGTCATTTAAAATTAATAAAAAGGCAATATATTTTAATGTTCATAGTATTGCCCGATTCAGCACCATGGCAGGAATGGAAGTAAGTAGAACAGGCAAACATTGGCTGCGGGGACCCGGAGTCGTTGATGACCGCACCTGCTGATGCTGCAGAGGTTCGCTGCTGTGGAGCTGAAACAAGTCAGGTTCAAGGAGGGTAGCAGTGCTGACAAGTTCTTCATAGATGGACATCTTTGATCTATCATACTTCTGTATTTCTTTAAAAGAAATAAAATATAAATACTAATCTTTGTTAAGTATTTAAGTTTTCTACTCTGAGCAAAAATGTCCAGGTATATCTACTTGGAAAATAAGATATTCTAGACAAAGGCTGAGTTTTAGTCTACACTATTACAAAACATTCCAAAGAACACTTAAAAACTACTGTAATCCAGTGAAAATCTTAGAGTATTTTACAAAATACAGACTATAAAATATTTCTAAATAAAGAAAGTTTTGTGAAAAAACGGATTTGTAGAAAACAATATTGATGAATTAGAAGAGCTGATTTATGATACGACTAATGTGGCTTATGAAGAAGATGGATGTTCAGAATTATGTCTAATATAATAGAACAGAAACTTTTGTTTTGAGGATTTATATTACTTGCTGACAAAATCACACCAAACAGTAGTTGTACTAGTTTTGTTTCTAAGGTCAAAATTAAGACAGTGATAAACAATTTGAAATTTGATGACTGAGATGTCTCTGGACATTTTGCTACAACTGACTTGAACATTAATTACTACATTGATTTTTACTTAAGTATGCAATCACACAATCAAGATCTTTTTGCAAAAATGTTGAATGAAGGTTGTAGAGTTACTAGTAAAGCAATCTAATTTCAAGGCATACACATGTAATGTCATTACAAATAACTCTGTCTGCAAATGCTAATTTGCCACATCGGATTATGACTTCAACTTATATGTAGTGTTTTGAAGTTTTTAGATTGGTTAGCAATGTAAAAATATGTGAGTAATTATTTTTATTTTTAACATTTTTGTGTGCATGCTCCAGACAATTTAGAGCCAGTTGAAGTTCCAGTGTAGAATGAAAGCATATATCGTGTTCTGAGACACAAGCAAAACATCTCTAGAGCAATGTTTCTGTTGTTACATTTTTGCACTTACTTTTTTCAGAAATATTTTTAGCTCAAGTGTTCATATAAGATGAGATTGCTAATGGTGATGAAAGGTGCTATTGAGTGACAATTTTACTGATTATAGATTGAGCTAAGATACTTCAATATACTCGAGTTTCAAAATATCCCTTTAAAGGGCCTTCTCATTAATTCACTGGTACTGTTTCTTCTTTTCTTTTACTCTTTTTCTTTAAGAAAATTAGAACTTTGTAACAAGAATTCTATGAGTAGAGTCAATAGAATCTAAAATGACTGATGAGAAGAAATGTACTTATATCTTATATTGACAAGAAATTTCACACCATGATCTTATAAGAATGATTTATTGGAGATTTACAATGCATAGTTAGAGAAAACCACCGAGTTGTTGACAGGTCACTGCAAACTCTAAATGTTCATTTAACCATTGACCTTAATGTCATGGAAACCTGTGGTTATCTTTCACCCTGTAACATGCTTGAACTGAAAATTCCTTCTGGCCAGGAGATTTTTAATTACTTTATTGATCAAGCTCATTTAAAATAGGATTAGCTACACATTTGTGAAGTAAAAGAAAGAGAGGGAGGGAGGGAAGGAAGGAGGGAGGAAAAAAGGAAAGAAGGAAGGGAGGGAGGAAGGAAGGACCTAACTAGATGTCTTTTGGCTATATCTAATGATTTCAAGAATATGAAAATAAAGTCAGGTTATAAGAAGTTACCTGAATTCTGTACAGATATATAATTTGAAACAATTATTTAAAATTTACTGAACAGTTTTTACTCTACTACTGCAGATCCTTTTTTTCATTGAATTTAAAAATTGTGTTTTGTGAATCGCCCTTTCCTTTTTGGCCCATGAAGAAAATAAATTATATGAAATTTTCATTTGAATATCATTTGTTCAGTTATTGCCAGATATATTATAATTAGCATAATATATATTTTCACATTCTCTCTTGATTAGTTTATTCATTTCTAAAAGTGAAGAATTAAATCAAGGAAATCAATGAAATAATAGGTCTCATTTCTGCTTGTAAAGAATTCATGAACAATATTTTACTGTTGTTTTTAGGTTTTTATAAGGTTTTCTACATTTTACTGTTGTTTTTAGGTTTTTATAAGGTTTTATAAGGTTTTCTACACATAAGGTATATATATATATATATATATATATATATATATATATACACACACACACACATTTTAATGTGTATTTTAATGTAGTAGATTTAGGCTGATTGAAAGTCTACTACATATTTCCAGGCAAGGGACCTGTATAGTAACGTCTATTTTAAATTAAAATTGATTGGCTTTCTCATGGTAGACTCTAAAGGGGTGCTTAATTTATTGCTTTTTTCTCAAAACTGTAAACCATAGTAATAAAGATGATGCATATAAGTTGACAAATAATCATATAAACTGACATTTATAGAAGCCAGTACACAAAAAAGATGAGAGCATTGATAAGCAATATGGCTGTTTGATTATGAACAGTGTAATACAACATGAAATTTTTGACAAAGACTATTTCTTTTCACAGTTGCTTAGCAAAAGCTAGATGTCACCATAATTTTCCCTTACTGTAGATATTATATAACATATAGTATATAATACACAATATATAATATATGCATATACAGCAATAGTTCACATTCTTCAAGTGTCAACTATGTGTGTGTGTTTGTATTTTGGAGAAATGACTGATTTTACAATTTGATCAAGAATTATATAGAATAAGCCGGGAGCATCTTGTAGTATCAAAAAGTAAAGAAGTAGCCTAGTCTAGTGTGTCTTAGTTGGTTTGGGGTCATCCTGCAGAGCAAAGGGTCACCTGTTTGGTTCCTAGTCTGGGCACATGCCTGGGTTGTGGGTTGGGTCCCAGTCAGGGCACATATGAGAGAGGTGGCCAATTGATGTTTCTCTCTCACATTGATGTTTCTCTTCCTTTCTCCCTTCCTTCCCCTTTCTCTAATAATAAACAAATAAAATATTTTTTTAAGTAAGGAAGTACTAAATAGCCTCACACATTTTGGGGGTTATAGGGTGGGTATGAAAGGAGCACTGGAGCCAAGTGACTGAAAGCTCCCAATGGCCAATGTAGAAATTTGACAGCAAAACAAATAAAGTACTATAGGATTATAGCTAAAAATATGTAATAAATCTGCAAGAGTCCATATTGATAGAAATGATTGAGTAAATCAATAAATGGAGAAGAGATAAATCTGTGCACAAGATCCCGTATATTTTTATAAATACTCTGCCCTTAACGAAGTGGAACATAACTCCCCACTCTTTAGTGTGGATTCCTCCCTAATGGTGCAGTTGGGAAAAGTGGGAAAGGTAACAATACATTGGAGAAACCTGAAACACACCCCTCAGCCAGATGATCACAGTTAATGGCAACAGTAATATCATTTTTATAATTTTTTTAAAAAATTTCACACCCTGGCTGGCATAGCTCAGCGGATTGAGTGCAGGCTGGGAACCAAAGCATCGCAGGTTCGATTCCCAGTCAGGACACATGCCTGGGTTGCAGGCCATGGCTCCCAGCAACCACACATTGATGTTTTTTTCTCTCTCTCTCTTTCTCCTTCCCTTCCCTCTCTAAAAATAAATAAATAAAATCTTAAAAAAAAATTTCCACTCACCTATCTCTCACCCCCACCCCACCCCAAACCTCTGGGAACTACCAATATGTTCTCTGTATCTATGATCTTTTTTGTTTGTTTTTTTTGTTACTAAACTCAGATATAATTTTTAAAAATGGATATTTAGATTTTTTCCATTTTTAAAAATTTAATCATTTTTATTTATATATTTTACTGATTTATATTTTTATTTATACACAGGCACACACAGAGTCGACCCTTGAGTAATGTGGGGGTTAGGGATACTGATGTTCTTTACAGTTGAAAATCCGCATATAACTTGACTCCCCAAGATCTTAACAAATAACCGGCTGTTGACTAGAAGTCATACTCATAAAATAAACACTTGATTAACACATATTTTGTATGTTATGTGTATTATATATTGTATTCTTACAAGGAAGTAAGCTAGAGAAAAGAAAATGCTATTAAGAAAAATACATATAAATACATAAAATAAAAAATGTATTTTGTATAATTAACCAAAACTATGCTAAAGTTTTTAGAACTGTCTCTTCATTTTAAGACAGTTGTCCTTGGACCTGGACATGTCAGTTTTATTATGAGGTGGTTTTCTGATTAGTTCTAGATAAAAACTTGCTTCCAATTACCCATTTAAATGATAATATAGATTGTGATATATTTCCTAAAGCATTATGAAAATATCTAATGACATAAAAATAAAATTTAATAAAAACACTGAAATAAAATATTTTGAAATTATGGGAAATTCACCCAGCAGACAGAAATTTTATATTCCCACTTTTAAAATCCCAATGTTTGTTATACTATAAAGTTTAATTTGATTGCTTATCTTTGCTTAGTTTTAGGGACTAATTAAATAATATCATATAAATTGTATTACTATAATCTAAAGGCTACATGTCACAATTTTAGAAATAAATTATTTATAATCAAATATTTTAACATCAACAAAACAGTCTATACACATACAGCATGCAACGGTGCTCTGAAAGATGAAATTATGTATTATGCCTATATTTATAATAAAAGCAAAAGTGAAATTGATTTTATGTATGTGTCTTCCACAGGCTTTCTTAAATATACATAGGAGATATAAAATAGACATTTTATGAATAACTGTTAGAAATTCTCCATATTTTCATTTAAAATAATTAAGCCTTTCAATAACATTAAGCTTTTCTAAAATGTTAAAATTTATGCCATCATCTTAATTATAAGTAGTTCAAACTAAGTTATATATAATAGTATGGCCTCAGTATAGTTTGTACGATGATAGATATTTGATGGATATAGAATATTCAGAATAAGTTATAAGTAATATATATAATTTGGGGGCATTAACCTTACTTTCAATATCACAACTACTGAATTTTATGTAAGTTAAAATAGTCTAAAAATATCTTTATCCTTTAGTTTTGACAGACAGACCTCCACCCATAATTCTGCAAGGCCCAGCTAACCAAACACTAGCAGTAGATGGCACAGCATTGCTGAAATGTAAAGCTACTGGTGATCCGCTTCCTGTAATTAGCTGGTTAAAGGAGGGATTCACTTTTCTGGGTAGAGATCCAAGAGCAACTATACATGAACAAGGAACATTACAGATTAAAAATTTACGGGTAAGTAATATTTGACTTGTACTTTGTATTTTTATCTCAACATAAAGTACCCCCCTAGTGAAAACTGTGTTGTGAACTTCAAATCTTATATCCATGCACAATCGCTTTACATTTTATTATGGGCCGTGTTAGTTCTTAATGTACTAATGATGAATTCAAATTAGAGGGAATATCATTGTCCTTGTGTTACTCATAAAATTTTATTTTTTATTATTGTTTATCCTGGTACAGTTGTTCCAGTTTTTCTGCCTTTGCCCCTCCAGCCAGTCCTCCCCCACTTCCATAGTCAATCCCCACACCACTGTCCACACCTATGTTCTTCGACTAATCCCTTTACAGTCTTTCAAACAGTGTCCCCACTACCTTTCTCCCATCTTACCACTGTCAACCTATTCCATTATTCTGTGCCTCTGGTTCTATTTTGCTCATTAGTTTATTTTGAACATTAGATTCCTCTTATAAGTGATATCATATGGTATTTGTCTTTCATTGTCTGGCTTATTTTCCTTAGTATGATAGTCTCCAGTTCCATTCATGCTGTATTTGTCTTTCACCATCTGGCTTATTTTCCTTAGCATAATAGTCTCCAGTTCCATCCATGCTGTCACAAAAGGTAGGAATTCCTTCTTTTTTTGTTGCATAGAATTCCTTTGTATAGATGTACCACAGTTTTTTAATTCATTCATCTACTCATGGGCATGTAGGCTGTTTCCAAATCTTGACTATTGTGAATAACACTGCTATGAACATAAGAGTACATAAATTCTTTTGGATTGGTGATTCAGGATTCTTGGGGTATATTCCCAGCAGTGGAATTGCTGGGTCAATAGGTAGTTCCATATTTAATTTTTTTGAGGAGATTCCATGCTATTTTCCACAGTGGCTGCACCAGTCTATGTTCCTACCAATAGTGCACTAAGGTTCCTTTTTCTCTTCATCTTCACCAGCACTTGTTGTTTGTTGATTTATTAATGATAGCCATTTTGGCATGTGTGAGGTGGTATCTCATTGTGGTATTAATTTGCAGCTCCCTGTTGGCTAATGATGTTGAGCAGCTTTTTATATGTCTATGGACAATCTGTATGCCCTCCATGAAGAAGTATCTATGCAGGTCCTTTGCCCAATTTTGAATTGGATTATTTGTCTTCCTGGCATTGAGTCATATGAGTTCTTTATATATTTTGGAGATTAGTTCCTTGTCTGATGTATCAATGGCAAATATTTACTCCCGTATTTGGTACCCTTTTCATTTTGATGATGGTTTACTTAGTCATACAGAAACTCTTTAATTAGATGTAGTCCCATTTGTTTTCTTTTTATATCAGCAAAACTATGCTACATGAGGTATCTAAAATTTTAATGCCTATGTTTTCCACTAGGATTTTTATGGTACCACAACATATTTAAGTCTTTTATCTATTTTGAGTTTATTCCAGTGTAAGTCAGTGGTCGAATTTCATTTTTTTGGCATGTATCAGTCCAGTTCTCCCAACATCATTTATTGAAGACTATCTTTACTCCATTGTATAGTCATGCCCACTTTGGCAATTAATTGACTATGGAGACATGGGATTATTTCTGGGCTCTCTATTCTGTTCCATTGATCTATGTGTCTGTTCTTATGCCAGTATCAGACTGTTTTGATATCAGGTATTGTGATCACTCCAACTTTGTTCTTCTTTCTCAAGGATGCTGAGGTTGTTCAGGATTGTGTGTGTGTGTGTGTGGTGTGTGTGTGTGTGTGTGTGTAGGGGGGTGTTTTTGGCTCCATATAAATTTTTGGAGTATTTTTTCCGGATCTGTGAAATATTCCATCAGTATTTTAATAGAAATTGTGTTGAATATATAGATTTCCTTGGGTAGTATGGAGATTTTAGTTATGCTAATTTTCCTAATCCATGAACATGGTATATGCTTCCATTTACGTGCATCTTCCTCAATTTCTTTCTTCTGTGTTCTATAGTTTTCTGAATACACATCTTTTACCTTCTTGAATAAATTTATTCCTAGGTACTTTTGTTGTTGTTGTTATTGTTGCTGTAGTAAATGAGACTTTACTCCTAGTTTCTTTTTCTGATAGTTCATTGTTGGTATACAAAAATGTCACCGATTTCTGAATATTGACTTTGTATCCTGCTACTTTGTCAAATTCACTTATTAGGTTGAGTAGTTTTTGGTGGAGTCTATAGAGTTTTCAATGTACACTATCAAGTTGTCTATAAATAATGACAGTTTTACTTCCTCCTTTTCATTGGATGGATTTTATTTATTCTTCTTGTCTGATTACTATGGCTAGAACTTCCAGCACTATGATAAATAGGAGTGGTAAAAGTAAACACACTTGTCTTGTTCCTGATTTTAAGGGAAACACTTTTAGCTTTTGTCCATTGAGTGTGAGGTTGGAAGTAAGTTTCTCATATATGGCCTTTATTATATTGAGATATGTTCCCTCTGATTTCACTTAGCTGAGTGTTTTTTATCATAAAGTAGTGTTGGATGTTATCAAATGCTTTCTCAACATCTATTGATATGATCATGTGGTTTTTGTCCTTCATTTTGTTTATGTGATGTGTTATGTTTATTGATTTGAAAATGTACAATCCTTGCATCCCTGGAATGAATCCCACTTGGTCATGGTGTGTGATATTTTTTATATATTATTGGATCCAGTTTGCTAATATTTTGTTGCTAATACATTGATTACATATTGAATGTAATAATATTTTGTTGAAATATTTTTAACATCTATGTTCATCAGAAATATTGGCCTGTAATTATCATTCTTTGTTGGTTTTTTTTTTTTTGCCTGGTTTTAGAATTAGGATAATACTAGCCTCCTAAAAAGAATTTGGGAGTCTTCTCTCTCCTTGAATTTTTTGGAATAGTTTGAGAAGGGTAGGTGTTAGTTCTTCTTTGAATGTTTGGTAAAATTTGCCTGTGAAGGTATCTGGTCCATGGCTCTTGAGTGTCAGGAGGTTTTTTATTACTATTTCAATTTTAATAGTTGTTATCGGTTTATTCAGGTTTTCTGCTTCTTCCTGATTTAGTTTTTGAATATTGTATATTTCTAGAAGTTTATCAGTTTCACCCAGATTGTCCAACTTCTTGGCATATAGTTGTTCATAATAATTTCTTACAATTTATTGTATTTCTGTGGTATCAGTTTTTACTTCTGTTTCATTTCTGATTTCAGTTATTTGGATGTTCTTTTTTTCTTGATGAGTCTGGTTAAAGGTTTTTCATTTTTGTTTATCTCTTCAAAGAATAATCTCAGGGATTCATTGATACTTTGAATTGTCTTTTTAGTCCCTATGTCATTTAATTCTACTCTGTCTTGATTATTCCCTTTCTTCTGATCACTCTGGGATTCCTCTAGTTCTTTTAGGTATAGGGTTAGATTTTTTCTTTGAGATTTTTCTATCCGCTTTAGGTAGGCTGTGTTGCTATCAACTTCTCACTCAGGAGTGACTTTGCTGTGCCTCACAGTTTTGGGGTAGTTGTGTGTTTATTTTCATTTGTTTTCCAATATTTTTTATATCTTCCTCGATCTCATTGTAACCCATTCATTATTTAATAACATGTTATTCGACCTCCATGTATTTGAATGTTTTTGAGTTTTTTCCTTGAGTTTGGTTTTTAGTTTCAAGCCATTGTAATCCAGGAAGATCCTTGATATGAGTTCAATATTTGTGAATTTGTTAAGGCTTGTTTTGTTTCCTACCATGTGGTCTATCATTGAAAATGATCCATGTGCATTTGAGGAGAGTGTATATTTTGCTTCTTTGGATTGAAATTCTCTGTAAATATCTACTAAGTCTATTTTATCTAGAGTGTTGTTCAATGTCTCAATATCCTTGTTGATTCTTTGTTTGGAAGGTCTATCCATTGTTGACAATGGAATGTTAAAATCCTCTATGATGACTGTGTTGTTATGGATCTTTTTCTTAAAATCCTTCAAGATTTTCCTTGTATATTTAGGTGCTCTTATATTGGGTGTATACATGTTAACAAGAGTTATATCCTCTTGTTGGACTCCTCCCTTAAGTATTATGTAGTGACCTTCTGTCTCTTGTCATGTCCTTTGTTTTAAAGTCTATTTTGTCTGATACTGGTATTGGTACTCCAGTGTTTTTTGTTTTGTTTTGTTTTCATGTCTGTTTGCTTGGGATATTTTTTCTATTCCCTCATTTACATCCTGTGTAGATCTTTTGTTCTGAGGTGGGTCTCTTGCAGACAGGATATATATGGGTTGTGTTTTCTAATCCATTCTTATATCCTATATCTTATGATGGATGATTTGATCTATTTCCATTTAAGGTTATTATTGATAGGTACTTATTCATTGCCATTTTCCTTTGTATCTGTGTTTTTCTCTATTTTTTCTTCTTAAAGTGGTTCCTTTAGCATTTCTTACAATACTGGCTTGGTGGAGATATACTCTTACAGCCTTTGAGGGGGGGACTGGGAAGCTCTTTATTTCACCTTCTATTTTAAATGAAAGCTTTACCTAATGGTATAGTTCAGCTCCTTGTTTTTCATTACTTGGAATATTTTGGGCCAATCCTTTCTGTCTCGTATTGTTTCTGTTGAGAAATCAGCTGACCCTTGTCAGAGCTTCTTTGTATGTTACTAGCTATTTCTCCCTTGCTGCCTTTAAGATTCTCGCTTTGTCTTTAAAGAAAATTTTAACAGACTTAGAAACTTTTTACTCTTTCATCCCAACCTATGTAATCAGTAAATTTTGTAAATTTAGTTTTACTGATTATGTAATCAGTAAAACTAAAAATATTAAACACATAAAGTTAATGATAGTAATACAATATTAAAATAATTTTAAAGTGACTAATGCTTCTGATTTACTCTCATTACAAAGGAAATTTGTAAGGAAATGTGGATAAACTGATTTGTCCAAATAGTTATGTGGAAAAAATGAAAATGAAACTGAGTACACAGGAGGCAGGTTTAGCCAGTTGGTAGGAAAATCTTACATTTTAGGTTAAGTTGCTGTGGAATTTAAATGCAAACCTGTGGACAAGAACACACTTGCTTGTCTTTTAACAAAGGATGATGTGATAAAAAATAACCATTTCTGCCAACTTAAACAAGTTAGACCTGCTTCAGGAATAACACAATCAAAATAAATGTGTACTTCTGAGTATTGTATTAGCTGTCTACTTAATGTGTAACAAATTAGCAAATACTTAGAGACTTAAAGCAGCACCATTTATTATCTCACAATGTCTGTGGGTGAGAAGCCTCAGCATGACTTAGGTGGGTCTTCTGCTTCAGGGCCAGAAAGTCTACAGTCAGGTGTCAGGGTGATGTTTTCATCTAAAGGTCTACTGAAAACAGATTTGATTCCAAGCAACCTGACTATAGCAGCACTCAGTTACTTGTGACTTCTGCTTCTTGCTTACTGATGGCTGAGGCTGCCTTTAGTTCCTTGACATATGGATATTCCGAGTATGACTGTTTTCTTCTTTAAAGTCAACAAATAGAGAGTCTCCAAACAAGTGAAGCATTGCACTTCTATGCAACATAATTACAAATATGGCACCCTGTCACCCTTGCCCTATGCTATTAGCCAGATGCAAGTCAACAGGCCCACTACACTCAAGGTGAGTGATTACACAAGGTGTGAATACCAAGAGGATATTTCATGAGGGCCTCCTGCCCTCCAAAAGTATAGTCAAATCATTCAACTGAATATAGAGAACCTCCCTCCATGCAAAAAGCTCTATTCCAATGCTACAGAGTATGTTATGGTGATCATTTTCTTTAGGAATGAGTGCCTAAAGAAAAATGACTGAAAATGATTCAGTGGAAGAATTAATAGAATCTGGTCCCTAGGGAGAAATTGGGAACCAAGATGAAAAAAAAAAATAAAACAAAATTAAAACCTCAAAAAACAATGTTGAAGTTTCCCTTTTAAAATGATCACAGTGTTCTCTTACAATGTAAATGTATTTGCATTCACACACTTATTTTGTTTTTATCATTGTAGTGTAGAGATACATGCATAAAATAAAGAATTACTCAATTTTTGCATTGTGCATGCACACACGGAAACAGAAATCTTTAATATATTACTATAATTAATATATAACTTTTTCATTTTAATTTTGAGACAGACATTAATTACTGCTCTAAGTAAAAAAAATTCAGTTAAAAGAAAAATAAATTATACAGATTTTAGCCTATCTTTTTATTGATTGTAAATTAACTGTTAACCTTTTATGAACAAAATGGGAATTATTAAAAAATTGATGCCAACTCCCTCTGAGTAAACACTTTAACCTCTCTCTCTGGGCTAAAGGCAGACTTGGGCCATGGAGGTTAATGCAATTGCACTGTACTGCTGAATTAGAGGTTGTGCTTGAATAGTCAGAATCCCCAGTAATGTTTGAAAGAAGCAATTAAAGGTGGGTGCTTGATGATGTCAAACAAACTTTGAGCCCTCTGACAGCTTTCTTAATAGTCTGTCTCAGATGCAAGCTCCTGGGGGCTTGTGTGCAGCCAACAGCACCAGGAGAATAGCTGGTGATAGAGGGCGACAGCACCTGAATCTCTTTTTAAAGCACTTGGTTAAGGATACAAGGAGAAGGATAGAAAAGATATGAAGCACTTGTGCTCAGAAAGGACATTATTTAAAACCAAAGGAATAAAAATGAATGTGGTGATAATACAGGAGTGGCTTTTAACTTCTTATATCTAGGAGTTATATAGGAGTTAATGATATCTAGGCTTTTGCTAGAACTTTTGCGAAACTCAAAAATGAATCTTGTTTGCCCTGACTGGTGTGACTCAGTGGGCTGGGTGTTGTCTCGCAAACCAAAAGATCACTGGTTTGATGCCCATTCAGGGCACATGCCTGGGCTGTGGGCCAGTTACCAGTTGGGAGCATGTTATAGGCAACAGATCAATGTGTTTTTCTCTTACATTGATGTTTCTCTCCCTCTCTTTCTCCCTTCCTTCTTCTGTCTCTAAAGTAAATAAATAAAATCTTTTTTTAAAAATGATTTTTTATGTAATATGACTGCCTTTAAAGGAGAAAAATGTGTTTTATAGGACTTCACTCATATCCAAAGACTTTCTGTAGGTTATATTCCTTTGTGTCTCACTATTTCTTTTTTGGTACTTAATGCAAGGGGGAAAAGAGCATGATGAACATTGTGTTCCTATAGTTCAGCTAATTGGTAGCTGAATCTGTATCTTTTGAGAAATAGAATATTCTAATGCTCATTAAAACATACCTACCACAGCTAATGTCAGACTTGTATCTCCACACAATGACAAGGAGATGCTGTTAAGAAGCATTACCTACCTACCCTTCTTTTAGCATTTGCACATAATAACAAGTGCTACATTTTAGTTCAACAGCTATAATAAAATGCAAATTCTTTACTCTTTCAGAGACCATATTCAAATGAACATCCCATTAAAACCCAACCTCGGCTCATTATATTTAGTTTGTGAGTGATGCTTCTTAAATGAAAAGATTTCAAATGACTCTAATACATGCACAGCCACATTCGAAAGAATGGCTTTTTCTACAAAGGCTATCCCCCATCATCACTTCGTATAATGGAAGACAATTGTATAGAGATAATATGGCGAAGAAAGACATTCCAGAGCAATTTGAAACTTAGGTTGAAATACATAATGACATTTAAAATCAATTAAAATGGTAGAACGGCAGTAACATCCATGAACTAATGATTTACTTGAGAATCAATTGTGGAAGGTTCAGTCATCAATACACTTACATGTTGAACTGAGCAGATATTATATTCTATAAACTCCTATATTTCATCAGCAATTAGACTCATGTTCATCACAGAATCTTAATTCCACATCTTCTGACTTGCCTTATTCTGTTTGATCTTCAGTTTCTCCTCCCAGTCTCACTTTTCCTTGCCCTGAACAGATGCCAATACCAATGAATGTTTGCAATGTAAGCCCACAGGTTCAGCTGCAGGGAGGGTTTTTGAGTTCCATCTTTTATTGATCTTCGGGCTTTTGTCAATGCATAATCACAGAGTATTCTGCCTTTCACATTTGTAAAATAGAACTCCTAATGATATTATCAATTATCCCTAAAATTCTTTTGCCACTCTTCAGTGAATAACAAAAACATTTTAAGTAATCAATAAAATGGCAACTTTTATGTATACTTATAAAAAGAGTTGTGTATTAGATTTTTCCTGTGGCCTTTCATCTCTAAATTGCAGTGATTTCACAGGCATGATTTATTTGGTTTTCGATGATACAACTTTATTCAAATCACTGTTACCCTGCTACAATGTAAATATAGTTGAATACTGATCTCTTTACAGGGAATGATTTATATTTTAATTTTTTTAACAACTTCTTTTAATAACTTTCATTCCTTCCCTTTCTTGCACACTAGATTTCTGATACTGGCACTTATACTTGTGTGGCTACAAGTTCAAGTGGGGAGACTTCCTGGAGTGCCGTGCTGGATGTGACAGGTGAATTCTTTGTGAATTATCATAACAGGAAAAACCTTGAGTCCATTTTAGTGATTAGCTCATTATAAAATACCAGGTTAAGAAGAGATTGATATTTTAAATTCATTAAATATGAAAATTAAGTCTTATGCTACTTTTTGATACCTGAACCACTTGGCACATAACATTGCATATATGCAATTTGATATTTTTTCCCCGACCACCTTCTTATTTTATTTTCTCAGTCTAGAGAGCAATTCTAGTGATCATGTGTGAAAGTAAACATTTAGTAACATGTAAGAAAGCAAATATTTACTTAGGCACTTTTTACTCATGCAGATCTCTCACTACTAGGCCAGCTTCTTTAGTAGACTATTTTTCCTCTTTTAATCATTGTTGTCAGCACACACATTCAGGAATAAAGCTTTTTCTGTTTGTCCTCTATAGAATCTGGAGCAACAATCAGTAAAAATTATGATTTAAGTGACCTGCCAGGACCACCATCCAAACCACAGGTCACTGACGTTACTAAGAACAGTGTCACCTTATCCTGGCAACCAGGTAGCCCTGGAACCCTCCCAGCAAGTTCATATATCATTGAGGCATTCAGGTATGGGACAATTCCTATTTTCTCCATTGAGTTTTGCTTTAGCTCCTATATCCTAAAATCTCATGTGAGTGATCGATCCTGCTGTTTCATTTTAAAGACATGTTCAACCCATGCATTTTAAGAATTTAACTTTTAATCTGACTTTATTCAAGAATAGACTTTATTTTTTTTTCATTGTTAACAATCATAAGATTAAACAGTATTATCTATGCCTAAGTTTATAGGAGTCTAATTCATGACATAATAATCATTTAGCTCCTTTCTTTACCCTGATTGTTGTAAGGATTTAAGATGATAGTTTTGGCATTAGAACCAGGCAGAAAATAATTTAATTAGACACAAGGACTTTTATGTTATGCAATGTTTATTGAGGCATGGAACCCTGGAACTTTGCTTCCTAATAGATAGAGCAAAAATTAATTCCAGTGTTTTTGTTCCAAATATTTGAATACATCTATTGGGTATACTTAAGAGAAAATTAAAAACTACAATTAAGAAATTGATTTCACGCACCTGTGATTGCTGAAAAGAAATGGCCAATTGTTATTTGAAATAATTGTTATAATTTAAGGATATAGACTATAAGTTAGCAAATGTCATTATAAAATTGTCTTATGAGAATTTAATAAAATGCTTACACAGATGGGAAAATGTAGTTTCATATTCAGTTTTAGTGTGCTTCTATTTGCTATTAAAAAGATAGTGATACCCTCTGTCCTTTCCAAGCATTAGGACAAATTCTTAAATGTGCTTTCATTGTAGGCTTCCCTAATTTATTGAAAGTAACAATTGGTACAGAGTTTACAAATTTAACAATACTATCTTTCCTATAATTTTCACGCTTTGATGCATAAGGACTTCTAGGAAATAAATGGAAGTCCCTGAGAAATCAGATTTTCTCTTAATTTTGAACAAAAGGAATATTTGACCTTAGACAAAAAGTGCTCTCCAGGGATATGCCACCCATAACTGGCTGTAGGGGAGTCAGAGATATGTGGTCATTCCAAGATGTAAAATCACAATACTGTGTAATGTACAATTTTATTAAAAATGTGACCAAGGAAAAATATTTATTACATGCTTCCTTTCTTCTTTTACAGATATGTAGTTTTAGAAGGCTTTATTATAATATTGCATGTGGAATTGATACAAAAGAAAACACACCTTGTAACAAGAAAGTGTATTGGCATAATTTACTCTGTAGTCCATTTATTCTTTCTACAGGTTAATTCTTTTCAAGGTATATATATATATACATTTACAAGGACCATATTTATTGTATAAACTTGATGTTGTGATCTTGGCCTCTGTTCCTTTTACAGGTATTCATTTAGTGGGCTGCTGTGCATTAGCAAAGGGCTGTCACATCTCCTGGGCTGAGTTTAATTTTGTTGTGCATGGCACTTTCGTTAGGTGGGCTCGGCTTTGTTGTTGAATAAACTGAAATCATCCAAATGTTTCATTTATTGGGCTGAACACTTCAAATGTTTTGTGTGTGTGTGTGTGCGTGCGTATTTAATTTTCAGCCATTAACCTTTGTCATTGATACCCAACTCCTTTTCCAGTAACTTTATGACTGTTCTTTAAATGAAACTTCTGTTCGTGTTTCAGCCAATCAGTGAGCAATAGCTGGCAGACGGTGGCCAACCATGTAAAAACCACCCTCTACACAGTGAGAGGACTGCGGCCCAATACAATCTACTTATTCATGGTCAGAGCAATCAATCCTCAAGGTCTCAGCGATCCAAGCCCTATGTCAGATCCTGTGCGCACACAAGGTAATTTCAAGAGCTGTAAACATGATCTGTTCTACAAGGAGGCATTACGCAGATCTTTAAGAGCAAAGGGATTGCACCAGGAAAGATAAATGTGTCTGCATTGCTTGTTACAATGATTCACTAGACCTGAGCCAGTTTAGAAGGTAATGTGCTGTTCTCCTTAGTGAATGTGTCCTCTTTCTGGAGGTGTCAGAGTCTATTTAGTGCAAAATAAACAAAATAATTGGATATATTCATATAGGAATAGTGAACCAACTAATTTGGGGCTTTATTATACTTCAAAGGGAGGAAAAATGTTACTCCTTTGAAATGAATAATACAGTATTAAAGACTGCTCTGTAATGGTTAAGGTACCCAAATAAAGATACCAAGTCATCTGTGTTAAGGTGCTGGCAGGTGTTGCTGATGTTTTTGACAAGTTTGACAAGCATTTCCATAGTGTGTTTTATTAAACCAGAGGTTTAAAGGAGCAATTTGTTTCAGAAAGCAGTAAATCAAGTTTTCTTCCTGAGGTATGTGATTCATTTGACTTAGAAAAAAATAACTCCCACCCAGAACATTATAACATAAGATGAAAATGGAAGATTTCTCGACTCATGTTTACTAGTCTGTCTCTTCAAAATGCGAAGTTGTTGGAATCTAGGGGTTAAGGTAAGATGGGGCATTATCATTTGTCTTTCTCCTAGTAGATGGAGAGAATTAATAAAATAGAATGGTTTTATTATTTGTTACAACCTGTTTCCCACAGGGTTCTTGAGAAAGGGTTAATTATGTCTTATTTGTAAAAGGCTTTGAACAAGATATAATTCAAAGTAGTATTTTTATACTATGAAAAGCACCATACAGCCATAAAATATTATTATAATTACAATGTAGTTCGGTGATAGTTACCAGCATGCTATTATAACAGAGAAGGGTTCTTTGAAGGAATCAAGTTAAATAAAGTTACCACGTGACTTGGTAATGTTGCTGACATGATGACAGGAAGGGAGGAGAGAATGCCACTTGGCCATTGTTCTCTAAGCAGTAATGTGATTAATTTTCCATGAGGATAAAGAACCTGTAGGTAAAGAACCTGTCTCAAGAGAAAGAAAAAAGTACAACAAGGAATTTGAAGACCTGAAACTGGTTATATTTTACCTCGCCTAGATCCAATTGCTTTTAGTGTGTCTGAATTTAATGGGTAAATTAAATTAAATTATTAAACTTGAAAAGAAAGAGGTGCATGGTTTTAACACAGAAAATAATAGTACCTAGATCATTTTTACCTGTGTAGATAGAAATTGTCCGTTTTTGTGTGTAGCCACAATGGAAGGCAGGCAGGGAAATAACAGAATAGGGAAGATTTTGGTGTGATTAAATCCAGCAGACCTTGATCATTTAATAATTGTGCCAGTCACTAAATCTCGACTCATAAAATAACTTTGCGGTGAAAAGGTCAAAAAAGATGAATGAAAAGTTGTTTGTGATCTGACTTGTTCCAGTTGAGAGACTATATAGGGCAAAAGAGTTATGTTCTCTTAGCAGATGTCTAATAGGAAAACCCATGTTTTGTGTCTGAATGTCACAATCATTTTTTGGCACCACACTTGCAGCAGCTTTGCAGTTCGCAAAGTTCTTCTTTTTAAAGAACACTTTGCTGTATGTGTTCTTATTTTTCTAAGATATTAAACACCATAGAATTTAAAATTACTTTAGTAAATACTAAATAGCAAATATTTGTAATACATACAAATAGACCGTGTATATATCTCCAAAGGTCAACATTATTCACCTAATATTAATAACTTTTTTAAAATCAAACTTGGTCTGTTTAAGGATGAAAAAAGTGGAATGGGAAATGTCACCTGAGTGTAGTTCCCCATTATTTATGTCCCAAATTAAGTTAGCACACCCAATTTAAGTTTTGGCTGAGATATGCACTTTAAATGTTTTTGCAAGAGTGTTGCATTGTGGCCTGAGAAAATAGAAGAAAACAAGATTAAGATAACAAATCAGTTTAAATTGGACTTCCTTCCTTAAAGAAGGTAGTTGGAGAAAAAAATTAACCTAATATTATGGTATACCAGTTAAAGAAGTTGATTTAAATATGTGTGAAATTCAGTATTTGATATCAGTTTGTTGGAGTTGAATATCTATCATTTATATTTTTAAGGGATATAGAATACAAACCCTTGTATGGTACAATGGAAGAGTATTTAAGTGAACAGTAAATAAGAAGCCAGAACATATGGCTGAGGGTATATTATTCTAAATACCACAAATATTTTTTCTTCCTCCCCACCCCTGCAACAGTTTCAAATGGCAGCTGCATCACCTTTTGTCAGGCATTGGTGCACTGCTCACACTTTATTATTTGGAACATTTTATCAGCATTCTAAGTTTTTTGTTCAAAAGTATTTTTGTGAATTTAGGGGGCTTCTTCCTCTTCTTTCCCTCATTTTATTTACCTTTAGTAATATAATTCATTTTTCCAGTCCTTCTAATTACTTTTCTTCCACATTCCTAGACTGAATAGGTCAAGGACTAAGAACACACAATTTACTAATTGGAATGAAATATTAAATAAATTCTGAAACAGCAGTTTTCTGATATTACCCTGTTAACATTCAAGGAAGTCTTTCAATATTGCATAAAACTTATGTTTCCAGAGAAGTCTTACAGCACATATTTTATTCTTTTATCTGAAAATAATAAGACCTTCCACACCAATGTATTTGAATGGGATAAGGGAGTGCATGTAGTCTTTTATTAATAATGTTTTAATCAAAATAGCCCTGGCTGGTGTAGCTCAGTGGATTGAGTGCGGGCCAGGAACCAAAGCGTCCCAGGTTCGATTCCCAGCCAGGGTACATGCCTGGGTTGCAGGCCATAACCCCCAGCAACCACACATTGATGTTTCTCTCTCTCTCTCTCTATCTCCCTCCCTTCCCTCTCTAAAAAAATAAATAAAAAAAAACTTAAAAAAATAAATATAATCATTCAAATTATGGTATGTATATAAATACTCTTTAATGTTTTGTCACAAAGAGTTTTTATCTTCCCCCTGTAATTATTTCTAAGGGCACAATAGTGGCATATGTAATATATGTTGGAACTTTACTGTGCATTTTCACAACTTGGGAATGGTTATCTACCTGTAGATATCAGCCCACCAGCACAAGGAGTGGACCACAGACAAGTACAGAAAGAACTGGGAGATGTCATTGTCCGCCTCCATACTCCAGTAGTGCTGACTCCCACGACTGTTCAAGTCACATGGACGGTAAGTCTCCCAAGGCTGCATTATTAGCAGTCTCTTTCATTCCTTTAAGGGAGAAACAAAACCAAAAAAGAAAAAACAAGTAAACAGCCCAAAAAATAGTAATAAAAACCCTTACAGTTTAAAATCAAGGTGTAATCAATGGCAAAAATAAAAGTACCCAGTACATAAAAGAATAAATATAGGAAAAACTTATTGATTGCAATATAAATGTAACAACCTCTGTCTTCTGAAAATTTTAATAGCCTTATTGAGATATAATTAATAAACCAGAGTTAAAAGGTACAACTCAGTGTTTTTCAGTATACTTACAGTGTTATACAACCATCACCAAATCTGACTTTAGAGCATTTCATCATCCCAAAGTGAAACCCTGTGCCCGTTACCGTTAGCAGTCACTCCTCCATTCCCTCTACTTCAGCCTTTACAACCACTGATCTACTCTCTGTCTGTGTAGATTCACCTGTTCCTTTCATAGGAATGAAATCATGCAATAGGTGATCTTCTGTGCCTGGCCTCTTTCATTCAGCATAATGTTTTGGAGGTTCACTCATATGGTAACATGTACAATATTTCATTCCTTTCATTAGCTAATAGTAGTCCATTGTGCAGATACATCACATACATCTGCTTATCCATTCATCAGCTGAAGTATTTTTGAGTTGTTTCTACTACTGATGGTTTCATGAACATTTGTGTACAAGTCAACACATGTTCTCATTTCTCTTGGTGTTTACCTAGGAATTGTTGAGTAATACGATAATGCTTTGTTTAACATTACATGAATTAACTATGAAAATGTTTTCCAAAATGGTTATACCATTTTATCTTCCAACCATCAATATTTGAAAGTTCTAGTTTCTTTCACATTCTTGCCAAATTCTCTCATATTCTCACCAACACTTGTTATCATCTGTCTTTTTTTATTATAACCATTCAAGTGACCAACAGGTGTTATGTAATTGTGGTCTTGATTTGTATTTCTTTGATGACTACTGATTTTTGCATCTTTTCATGTTTTTACTGAGCAATTATATCTTCCTTAGATAAATGTCTGTTTAAATTATTTGCCCATTCCTAAATTGGGTTGTTTATCTTCTTATTATAGTCTTATAAGAATTCTTTTTTTTTTTTAAAGATTTTATTTATTTATTTTTAGGGAGGGAAGGGAGGGGGGAGAGAGAGAGAGAGAGAGAGAGAGAGAGAGAGAGAGAGAGAGAGAGAAACATCAATGTGCGGTTGCTGGGGGTTATGGCCTGCAACCCAGGCATGTACCCTGGCTGGGAATCGAACCTGGGACACTTTGGTTCCCAGCCCGTGCTCAATCCACTGAGCTATGCCAGCCAGGGCAGAATTCTTTACGTATGATTTGTAAATATGTCCTCCTAATCTGTGATTTGTTTCTTACTTTTTTCTTTTTTATTTACATAAATGGACTTGTATTTATTCCCAATTATTCCCTTGTTATTATTGTCCTCTTCAGATTGACCCTTCTGTTTCTCACTTTATTAATAGTGTTATTTGAAGCATGGAAGATTTTGATTTTGGTGAAGATGTCATATAAATTTAAACCAATCATCTTTATTTCCTATTAACTGAATCTCATATAGCAGCACCAAACATGTACATACATAATTTTAATAATTTGTCATAATTTATAAATTAATGATTTTAAGAAATAAATTGATATTTTAGTATATGCTAATGTGTTCAGTTGCATGCATTAATAAATATCAACCTGTTCACTTTCATTTTAAAATACAAAATGTTTTGACCACATAGTAGCCACTTTAGTAGAAACAACAAATAGCATAAAAATAACCATGTTAGTCATATATGCCCAAGTCTTTCTGTGTGTCAGTGTTCTGAGAAGAGTAAGATAATCTTCCTTGAGCCTTATAAAGTTAGTGCCAACTTCTCCTTTGTTCCCTGAATCTCTCTATTATAATTTCTAAAAATTCATAAGGAAATACATCAGAATGATAGAAAAACACGTACTCTTTAAGCCTTCTGTTTATGTGATAGATTTTGTATCTTGTACAAGTAATGAACATACTAGTTAAGGATACCTAGAAATTTTCCACTTTAGTTATAATCTTAATTAGAAAATATTTATGATTGTGCCTTTATTATTATTATTGTTTTGTTTTTGTTTTGAAGAATGACAAATAAGAAAACAAAAACAACAAAACTGGATTACCCTTCTCTGAGTATTTTAAAGAAATAACTACTTTACCCATTCCCATTAAGTTCCTCAACAAAGGAATTTGAGGAAAAAACTTGTTTTACATCAGTTCTTAATTTATGTTGGAACTATAAAACACAATGATAGAATCATTCCAGTCCTCTCAACAATAAATCCATGGAACAAATCCAGATCAACAAGTCTTTTTTTTTTATCCTCCCCCAAGAACATTTTTTTTTAGAAAGGAAGGGAGAGGGAGAAACAGATGTGATGTGAGGGAAACATTGATTGGTTGTCTTCTCTTACATGCCCTGACCAGGCATCAAACCTGCAACCTGGTTATGGACTTTGACCAGGAATCAAATCCAAGACATTTTGTTCTATGGGACAACGTTCCAACCAAGTAAGCCACACTGGCCAGGGATCATCAAGCCTTTTTTGAGAACCAATTTTGTGCTAGATTTCGGGGGGCTTATACAAAGAGACACAAGTCTATTTGAGAGAATCATGTAACTTTTTAATGAAAGTACACAGGGATAAGTGTCATAACAAATATATACACACCCTATAGAGAGAGGTGTCAGTCAAAGATGAAGTGGTGAACTCTATCCTCAAACACCAGAAAAGGTACTGACTCTCATCTGCTTCTCTTTGAGGAAACATGGAGGCATTATTTATTAAAATAAAAGTACCTTAGAATTTCCTTAATTCAAATCTGCTTTTAAGATGAAATTTAGACAAATATGTAGTTGAGTGGAAGGTGTTTTAATGGTGGAATTTCAACATATGATCCCAGATGGGGCATTTTGTTACTTCTTACACCAGACCGAGGGCCATCTATCTGATCAGTCATATTTTGGGCCCCTAAGTGCTCAATTGAGCGATACTTTAACAAAAATAAAACTAAGTGTATAATATTTCAAGAGTAATTATGATTAGGACTACATTGCTTCTAATTTTATTTTTCACGTAATTTCACATAGACATCTCTATTTTCAGCACATAATGGTTTCTATTCTTCTGCTCCCATGAAGGGAACATAATGAGCTCATAATTCTTCCAGTGACACAGTAGCAGTATTATCTGCCATGCCTCTTCCATCCTTCTGTATCTTTGTCCAGAAGAAAACTAACAAGGCCAAGGAAACAGTTGTATTTTTAATAGCAGATTTTTCCTTATACTAAATTGAAAAGGTCTTCTCTGCTCTGTTGGGCGTTTTGAACAGGCTTTTTAAAGCTGCTTCTAAATGTGGGAGTTATTTGGATAAGAATCAAAGTCATTATGTTCATGAAGTTAATCACTTTAAAAGTCATTAAATTCAAAAGAAAAAATCAAATTAGATCAAAATTGCAGGTCAGTAGTCTGGGAGTTTTTTCAGGAGAGGGACCGTGTGATATTCATCTTTATATCCCAAGAAGCTTGTCATTTCAAGTTTTTGTATCTCCCTCCTTTATGAGCTTTACTTATAAGAGTCTGGAATCTGTTCATAATTTCTGTTTTTTCAGAGCAAAGCATCATTTCTGGGATACCCTTCCAATAACTATCTGCTGAATGATTAGCCCTGTTTTTCATGCAATTTTTTCTTTATTTTAGAAAAGAAAGTGTTCAGTTGTATCACAGGCTATTGTTCCCACGAGGTAAGCATGTAGTTGAGAGGTAAATGTAGTGAAATAAAGCCAGACAGGGGTAAGTTTGGTTACCAAAGAAATTATGACCAACTATTTTATTTCGATGTCATATTTTCAATTTGCTAAATGTGCATGTTCTTTAAATTATCATATTGTTGGAGTTAACAGATGTGTTGGTTTGAGGGGAGAAATATATTTCCCAGCCCATGTGTTCATATTTGGGGTCAAGTGAGGTGAGTTACCAATGGTTAGCAGGATTCAATTACCAAACATATATGTTGTTTGTACTAAAAAAAATCCATATGCCCCACAAGGCTAATCCTGAAGCAACAATAGTTAGCAAATGGTACATTCTAAAAATGACTGCTTTTATAATGAGGGTATGCATAAATTATAAGAAAATGACTGTTTCATAAGGAAAATAATAATAAATACCATCTTTAAAAGTTTATTCTGGTGTGTATATGTATGTGTGGGTTTGTTTTGTTTTGATTCAAGGACAAAAAGAATCACAGACCCTTTGCTCCTAAATATAACAACAACTGGAGTTGAGAGAATGCCCTTGGTAAACTAGTTTCAGAACTCAGCTAAATCGAGATCAGTCACTAAGCAGACTAAGCCCACCTGAGAAAATTTATTTTGAATGTTCAGTTTAAGGGGTTTTTATTTTAATTAAAAAGATAAATATTAAGCATCTTAAAATTTCAATGTAAATGTTGCTTTGAGGGTCACATGTGGACCCCCGTTTTTAGTATATTCCTTACCCAACAGTGATGCTTTATCATTGTGCATCACTGAAACATGCCAAGGCTTTAACTTATGTTAGTCATTTAATTGTGTCTGTGTTCTTGTGCTAACATGGATATTACTTGAGCAAATTAAGTAACCTGAGACTCAGAAAGTTTAAGAGGCTAAGCTGTAAGACTAAACCTCTCTTCATCTTTTCACTTTGTCCTAAAGACAACTTTTTTTACTCATGTTTCAGAAAATAACAATTTTTAAAATTCAGTAAATCCATGGAATTATGTACAAACTCATAATCAAAACATTAATAAAACTAGTAACAAGCACATATGGTTTAACTTGAAAATGACTACCTGTCAAAATGTGCTTCAGAAGTCAATGGTGGAGAATGCATATCCAATAAAAATCCCACCTATTTTTTAAAGGTAGTCCTCAGCATTTTCATCTTTGCTTCCATCTGTAACAACAGATATTTTTTTTTCTGAAAAGAATGTATTACAACTGTACAAAATCCAGTTAAACTACTTAGTTATTAAGCAGATCATTAGAAAATACTGGTTGGAGGCCGTGCACACTGAAGTGAGCGAGGCAGTATTGTGCAGTAAACATTAGCTTCATAAAGTCCCTAAAACACTTAATTAATGAAAACCAAACATGGATAAAACCAATTTACCCTGATTTACAGACTCCCTTCATCTGGAAACAGCTGCTTAATGTTCTTCTTAAAAACACAGCTTGCTTCTTTCAGTATTAACAAGCTATTATTGTGAGTTATGTCTTTCTTTCAGTATATAAATTCACTTAAAGTGAATGCAGAGAAGTTTATAAAATGCAAGCTTAATGTTGTTCTAACATATGCCACAGTGATTTTTTTGAACACTGACAGTTTTGATGAAGCATATCTCTCTTTGGATCCCATAAATTTATTTTTTTCTTTGTAGCTGCCTTGTTTTATAATGTCAAAACAACTTCTGCTTTTCAAAAAATATGTTCAGTTTTACAAACTTATAGCATGGATGAGGGTTCAAAGACCATGAGGTTTGCAGTAGAGATGGACTTATTTTTTCATGGCATAACCTCATACAAGAGTAGCACAAATTTCAGAAAATCTTTGAGGGTTAGAAAGCTGTTAGGTAGGTAAAGGAATTCTTACTAGTTGAAACTCAACTGTGGAACTGGAATTCGCTATACATAGAAACTCACATGTTCATGCTCACCAGATTCATGAATTTTTCTAACTTGGACATTCTGAAGGCAGAAAAAAAATACGTCCCTTTGTTCCACTGTATTTTGACTGAGATTCTGTGGGGGTGGGAGGATAATATCTTTATTAAAGCTGAGGGTAGTGATAGTGAAACAAGGAAGGTCTTAGCATGGGAGGAGCAACAGGAGAGCAGAGGCTGGGCTGCCTTAGCTCACTGGGAAGTTAGAGAAAAAGTGGCTTTGGGGATTGGTTCAGGGGATTAGCCTGGGACAAACTGTCGACTGCCTTAGAGTTTAGGAGATGTAGGGCAGTGGGGAAAGCAGGGGAAGAAGGAGGGAAAGGGAATGGCATTGAAGACCATGCATGTGGGTTCCTTTGTCTTGAGGCTTGTATCTCTCTCCTGCAGACTGGAATCTTAGGGCAGGTGTCAGGGGATGGTTCCAGTAGAATAGTCACCAGTTTTCCAGGTGTGCCCTTTCAGGGTCATGGTCTCCACTGATTGATCAGTAACAGGGTGGGTCTTTAGTCACTGCAGTTGATTCTGGTGTTGTCCACCTGGTTTTGCTGCTTTTCAACTTTCTGTATTTACTTAATAAAAGTAAATGCTACAAGTCAAAGTTAGAATACATGAAAGAATAGCTTTTATTTGTAATGTGTTAACAATTGGATAAAGATATTTGAACAAGCTGAAATAACCATTTTTATCATTGCCTATTCTATTTTCTCTCTCCTCATCCTTCCTAAAATGAGGTTCTTCCACCTCTTCTTCATTCAATTTTGCACTTTATTTGTGAATTATGTCAAGTTAAAGGCTTTTTGGAATATGACTATTAAACTATAATGTATGGAATATTAATTGGAGAAGGTGCTATGGTAGTTATATTTATGAAGCATTTCCAGAAACATGGTAAGACATTTAAAAATAGCTAAAAATCCATTTCTCTCTGAAAATTAAAAAAAATGGTAAAACTCCAATAGATTATTTCATAAATGTACAAAGAGAACATGTTTCACTTTTAGCTTACATTTTATGTATTCATTTTTATTTTATTTATGAGTGAACAAAAAACTTTCAAATTTGTATTTGATATGAGTTTTCATATTCAAAATCTGAGATTTTCATTAAAAAACAGCTGCTTATCCTCTATATACTAAGTGAATAAAAAGATCAGAAAGTTGTCACATTGTGGCAGTAGTGGGACTACTGGTAAATGAATTAAAGACCTTAATATTTATCAATGGGTACAAGCTTTAGCTCCACAACTTTTAGTCTCCCATACACTTCCCCCACCAACAGGAATTATACACATGTTGTTCCTGCTCTTTGTCCATGGGATGAATCCCACTGTTCTTGTAGATCTCAGCACTGTCTTCAGGCAAACTTCATCTTCCCTTCCTGATTCAGTCAACTTCCTCTCCACTCTAGGCTTTCTTAGCTTCTTGTACATCTCAATCACAACACTTACCTATGTGTATTTGTTGTGGCTGAAACTTGAATACTGTTTGGGTGATCATTGGACAACGCCCACCTTCCATATGGCTTCCACACACCATGAGGGCAAAGACTGACTCTTGCCAGTTTCCATTTTTATCCCCAGATTTTTGCAAAATTCCTGGTGTTTATTGGTAGGAACTCAAAAACTGTTTTGAGCAAGTAAAGGTAATAATGAATGAACAAGGGATAATAAAGGAAATCCCTGACTAGTAGCACATTACCTATACAACCACAAAAATAAGAAATGTTGAATATAGGAAAAGAACAAACAGATAAGAAATAAAGCTAGAAAAATTGACGGGTCTAGGTCCTGACAGAATTTTGTGCTAATCCAAAGAATTTTAATTAAGTAGGTATCTTAGATGCCATGAAATATTTTAAATAGGAGAGGGAGTTGTCTCTCTCTTCAGTTTCGAAATAGAACAGAAGCAATGCGAACTCAGAATTGGAAGAGGATGTAAGAAGCAGGAATGTGAATTAGAAAGCCGTGGCATCACTTAGATGATAAGTGATGAGGACTGAAACAGGGACAAGAGAAATGAGGGTAGATCCATTATGTTGTCGAAAATACTTCCCTTTGGTTTCAAAATCATTTTGCTATGTTTTTCAGGTTGATCGCCAGCCCCAGTTTATTCAAGGCTACCGAGTGATGTATCGTCAAACGTCAGGACTGCAAGCTACATCAACATGGCAGAATTTAGATGCTAAAGTCCCAAATGAACGAAATGCCGTTTTAGTCAATCTGAAAAAGGGGGTGACTTATGAAATTAAAGTTCGACCTTATTTTAATGAGTTCCAAGGAATGGATAGTGAATCTAAAACAGTTCGAACTACTGAAGAAGGTCAGTATTCAAATTTCTAACATTTACCAAATTTAAACCATAATGAAGCCAATTTCTGTTGAAGTTCTAGTTAATCATCTTCCTTAGAAGAAAAGCTTGAAAGCCTTTAAAAGTGACTCCAGCAAGTGTTATTTTCTCTTTTTATTCTGAAAATTCCCTAAAATCTGACAACTCAAAAATAAAAAAAAATTCAAGTAATTTGAATTTTTCGTAAGTAAACATTTTCCCAAAACCTTGTTTGTCAGTACATTGGAATTTGATTCTAATATTTCCCAATGTAGCCCTGGCTGGCGTAGCTCAGTGGATTGAGCGCGGGCTGGGAACCAAAGTGTCCCAGGTTCGATTCCCAGCCAGGGTACATGCCTGGGTTGTAAGCCATAACCCCCAGCAACCACACATTGATGTTTCTCTCTCTCTCTACTCCCTCCCTTCCCTCTCTAAAAATAAATAAATAAAATATTTTTAAAAAGTAATATTTCCCAATGTATATTTGTATGTGGATTAGGCTCACTGGGCTTCAATAAAGGACAGGCAACTGGAAATTCAGGAGCATAGGCTGTTCACTGTCACTTCCTTTTTTTTTTTTGTAGTAAAACCTGACCTTGTCTTTTATATGTCTCCTTCCCTGTGGCCTCTGCCAGCCTGACTCATCATTTCTAATTCAGGGAGTTGCTTGCATGTTTGCAATAGCTTTCTTCTTAATGCTGTTGCCTCCCCCTCTCCTCTTGCCTACTCTCTAAAGTCAACCTGTGATGGACATGAATAAATGTGGGTCTCAACCAGTCCACTTACTAGGGTCTCCTTCACTTAACTAGAGGCTTATAAATTCTGTAATAAACATAAAAAAGAGATGTCAACTATAATAAATTCCTCCCTTTTCTGCTTTTCTACTAATTTTATAACTTCCAAAAAAGCCTTTTTTCTAAATATATTTTATATAAATTAATATACCAGCCTTAAGAAAATGTATATAGGTAACATGTACATGTTTGACCCAAGAACTTTTAAATTATGTACATCTCCTAATAAGCAACACAGTGAGAATGTTGTCCTGACATATGTTTATAAGTGTGATAAACTGACTTGGGCAGAAGTGCGTGTTTTTAGAAGTATCGCTAATCTACTTCTAGTATACGGAAAGAAAAATGACTAAAAATTAATAATAGTGTCATCACTATTACATTTTACTTTATGTTGAAAATTTGTAGTACTAACGAGGGGTAATTCAATACAGAATGCTATGTTTGGAGCGCATTTCCATAAATCCATTTTACTGCAGTTAGACATTTCCTCTGGATTAGACATTTGTCAGCATTCGCGGTATGTTCCTCTCCAGTTTCTGTGGTTTTCTGAAGGTAACAAACGGAATTTCAGTGGCCTGTGCTGGGAAACGATGAATGGCAATCTGTGCTCTTTCACGTCACTAGAAGGAGCTGAGCAGAGGAATCATTGACCTGCCGGGGAGCAGGCACAGTGTTCTCTCCAAGCCAGCAGGAAGGCCAATGAGAATCCAGTTCTCAGAAGTTATTTTACAATGCAGTCCACTTCATAACTTCAAAACTGGTTGACAGATGGTTAGGCTTATGTCATTGTGCCATATTTTGGAGCAATATTATCACTTAGAAGAGTAGTGAAGGATGGGGCAGTGGTATGTGTGTGCCTGTATCTGAATGCAAATATGGCCATACCTCAGTGAAGTATGTCATGACAGGTTTACTGAACATGGGAGACCTTGTTGATAGGGTTTATGAATGTCTTTTACAATTCAATCGCATATATTTTCAAAGGGCTAACCTGTGTAGCATTGTGAAAACATTGACCCTCTTACAAAATAATCCTTTGAATTTTGTTTTAACTCTTAGTACTTTGATATTAATTTTTTTCCTTTGGTATAAACTCAGAGATTCACTGAAAATTGATGTTTTCCAGCAAAATTAGTATTTGTTAGCTCTCAGATACACTGTAGGAGAGAAGCTGCAGTCTCAAATCAGACAGTTCTCCTCATTCACCTTTTCTCAGTATGATTACAGGAGAAATCACAAAGGAAGAGAATGTAAGAAATTAAAATTTGTCCATGTCACATTTGACCCAGCAGGCACTGTTTTCATTTATATCTTTAAAATTCCTTAGCTATCAATATAAACAAGTCTGAAAGCTTCAATTATGAGTCAGTTTATAGTGGTCAAAACACAAGTATTTTTTGTTGCTAATATTTATAACTGTGTTTCTGTTTTTACTTGTTAAACTCAAACTAAAATGAAATAAAAAGCATGTCAGTAATGCCACCACTCAGAAATAATGGCTGATAAAATTTGGGAACACATCATCTCAGAATATTTTGTACGGCAGTGTTTTGTTTCATCTGTTGTTTTTCTTTTTCAGAAAGAGCCTACTAGAGTCAAAAGAATCAAAGTTCTAGAATCAGACATACTGTGTCCAAATTCTGCCTTGTTGTTTGACTCGGCCTCTTGCAGTAGACTTTCATTTTCTTATCTGTAAAGCTGAGATGAGAGTTGCTCTTACATCCTGAAGTTATTGTGAGAATTAAATCTGACACTCAGCTCTCTGCTGGGTACATAGTAGAATGCTAGCTGTTAAATTTATTATTCCGTTCATATTATCACAGCTATTATATTGACTTGAAATCCATCCATTATATGTAAAAGCTATTTTATAAAAACTGTCACTGTCCAATACTACATGCACATTTAGAACTGCTAAAAACCAGAACCTCGTTCATCCTGTCTTTACACTCAGATTCTGCATGAGCGTTGATGCACACGAAGACTTACAGTTTGTGTTTATTCTAATTACTTCCTGTGCAGCCCCAAGTGCCCCTCCACAGTCTGTCACGGTGCTGACAGTTGGAAGCCACAATAGCACAAGCATTAGTGTTTCCTGGGATCCTCCCCCTCCGGATCATCAGAATGGAATTATCCAAGAATACAAGGTAGGGCCTGCGTGAAGAAGGAAAGCTCCTACAGAAAGGTTTCTGGTTTCCAAAGAAGTCTCAGGTTCAGTGGATGGGCACATCTCTAATGTTCCTCTTGTTGAATTTGAGTGTAAATTGATTTTTATATCTTTGTCTGACGGGTCAAAAAACAAACGAACAGGGGATTAAAACGTAAGTCTAAGGTCAGAGATAACACAGACTCAGTTGCACAAGTAAACCACAACAGTGGAGGGGTATTTTGTTATTAGATTTCTGTGTAACATGCCTTCTAGAGGAGTTTTTAAAATTGTGTTCTCAGAAAAAGATACTTGAGGGGTTTAGAGAGTCGGACTGTGATAGGAGGGTGTATCGCACTAATTCCTGCTCTAAGTTCTGTTTTTGTCAGTTTACTTCAGTTTTGTAAAGATATTTCACTCAAAAAAGGAAGCCATTAAAAAAACAAATTTTGAAAAAAAACTGCCTTACAAAAAATTGGTTGATTATCTCATTTTCAACTCAACTGGTTACTATTTAGAGAGAGTATATATATATTTTCTCTTCGTCATCATTTGATGTTTAAGAGGCAGAAGATGAAAACTTTGAGATTCTGATTAGGTGATGTTATTAGACCTCATGGGAGAGGAAAACACCTCTTCATTCAACCTTGCAAAAAATGTAAAAGTATGATTTTTGTTATTAATAAATATATACATAATTCTGACAAAAATATACTATCTTGGTCCATTAGAATAGAAAACTAGATACCCTACTTTACTCCAGAAATTAACAGTTGATAGGTGAAATTAAGCTGACTTATTTAACTCAAAATATTGCAGAGTGAATTAAAATATGTCTAAGAAAAAAATCATAAATTTAAAATAGGATTTTCTTAAATTAATGTTTAACTTACTGAAGGAAATGTGGAGAATGTGCATAAGCTTTTAAAATTACTCCCATCACACTATAAAGACATGTGCCTAACAAATAAAAGAATAAGTTGGTTTAAAACAAGATAATTATGTAGATTCTAAAATTTTACAAGTGTTTGGATATGTTGTTTTAAGGGCAAGAATAATGGTGTGGTGTGTCTTTGTGTGTGTATGTATATTTTAATAAGGCTAAGATTTTAGTTTCCTGTCATCTGGAACTAAATATCATAAACTTTCATTTACTTAAAAATTGATTTCTTTTTACAACATGATAATTTGTATCATAAATTATGAACTTTCTCACTCATATGAGATTGTCATATTTTGGTAACAAATATATATTTAGTTAAAGACTATTCCTTCATTAATAACAAGGTATAGTACAAATCAAAGTCATATAATTCACAGGAATCATTTTAAAGAAATAGTTTCAGAAACTTAGATCTGTTTCAGGAAACAACCCTGTGTGTTCCTTGTGTGTCCATAATATGAAACACTATTTAACAGGAATGCAAAGATGCATACACAGTACCATTCGTTTTACAACACATTGTACAGTAACAGATCTCCACATCCCAAGAGAAAGTGTGCCTTAAAGTTTCTTACTTGAAGTAGAAGTCCAGCTTTCCTCACATCCGTGTTTAAGGACTTGCCACCAGTTTGCTCTCATGCATGTGTGTGTGTATATGGGGACATCGATCAATATGAGGATTTATTACTGTCAATGTAAATATTCACTTTAATTTCATCTCAGTCAATACCTATAACTTAAGTCAATTAATCGTTTTAACTACTTCTGTGTAAGTTAATATTTTCTTAAATGAAATATAAATTACTTAGATATACACCTACATACTTTGAATATTACAGCTCATAATCACTGTATTTTAATAGATTATGCATATAATAAATCTTGATACATAAATTAAGCAGAAGAATTTATGTTTTAATCCATATGCAAATGCTGTTTTAAACCAGGGACCACTTTCTAGAGGCATTAAGGGAATTACTGTGTTATGAGCATGCAGCGCTCATTATCAGATAAAAAGGAACACGGCGTAGCTTCAGCTTTCCTTATTGTTCTTCCCTTAAGAAACACGCATGGACTGCAGAAATCAGGCTTTAAGAAATGTCAATTACAAATACTTCTATAAGCCTAGGTAGTAGACTAATCACTACTAACAAAAACATCTATTATATTCATCTAATTACCAGAAGGATAATTTTATCTTCTTTTGTTATTCACTTCACATTTTTTGTAGATCTGGTGTCTGGGGAATGAAACACGATTTCATATAAACAAAAGTGTGGATGCAGCCATTCGGTCTGTAATAATTGGTGGATTATTCCCAGGTGTTCAATACCGGGTAGAGGTTGCAGCGAGTACCAGTGCAGGGGTTGGAGTAAAAAGTGAACCACAACAAATAATAATTGGTGAGTAACAACCTGTGTAGCCTGTGCTTCAGAATCTGTCAGCTGGTACCAAAGTAGATCATTTTTGACTCTGCATACTAACAGTGAATATGCAATAATGAATGAGAGGTTGCGTACACCATAAAGGCAAATGGGTTAGTTTACTAGAGTTTCTTAAAAAATAATTAGTGCTTCTCTTAAAAAATAATTAGTGCAACTTCTCATGCTCTTAAGACTCCCATAGGGAGTAAAAGGGAGAAAACTGTACTTAAACAATGATTAAAATAAAATTAAAAAAAAGATTCCCATAAATTCTTAAATTATAATTACTAAGAGTTTAATGGCTGAAACTTTATTTGAAAATTATTTTAATCAATAGGTTTAGTAGTAATTTTGATGCCATTGAAATATAATAAGAAATGAGGCAATTCCTAAAAAAAGGTGCATTATATTTTAAATCTGCATGCTTTCTCTTAGCCAGAAACATTTTAAAATTTAGCCAGAAATAGGCCAAAAGAAACTTTGTAATCTGAATAAAATATCCCAAAGAAGAAATTCCTATTAAATCTATTATTATGACAGAATCCTATCATATGGATCATGCTTGCCTGTTTTTGAAATATATATAAGTTAAATAGTACAGAATATAATATTTTATATATGGCTTATTTCACTAAACATGTTTTTAAAATTCACCCATATGTATTATGCAATTCATATGTTTTATTTCTGAGAAGCATTAATTTGTGTGAATATATCATATTTTGTTTCTTTTCTCTTCAGTAAATGAATATTCTTGGGTAAGCTATTTTGAGGACATATTTTTTAATTTCTTTTGGAGAAATATCTAGAAGTGGAATGGCTGGGCAATAGGATTGATATACTTTGACTCTGTAAGAGACTTTAAACACTTTTTTCAAATTGTATAATTTTTAACTCTCATTAGCAAACAGTAATTCTTCCAATATTTCTACATTGTTACAAATATTTGATGTTGCCAATCCATGATTTTAGCCATTCCCTTGAGTGAAAAAAAGTATTTCCTTTCACTTTTCTTTGATAACTAATGATGCTGAACAACTTTATGCATGTGTATTGGATATTCATATACTTTCTTTTATAAAATTTCTGTCTTTGAGTTTTTAAAATCATTTTTGTCTTTTACTGATTTAAAGGAGTTTATACCATTTTGCATACAAATTCCTTGTTATGTATTTGTATTGCAAATTTTTTGCATATCTGTGACTTCTATATTCATTTTTTAATAAATGTTTTGTAGAACAACAGTTTTGAATTTTAGTGAACTATAACTTATCACTCTTTTTTCATGTTTAGTGCTTTGTAAGAGGTTATGTCCTACCTCTAGCTAGTGAAGATGTTTTCTTATATTTTCTTCTGCAAGCTTTATAATTTTAACTTTTATGCTTAGATCTATAGTTCAGCTTCAAGAAATTACATGTGGTTTGAGGGTTGAGGCTTATTTATTTCCAAATATGTATCAAATTTTGTCCACGTCATTTATTGACTTTTCTTTCCCCAGTTGACCATATATATGTGGATCCATTCCTAGATATCCTATATTATTCCATTTCTTTATATGCCTGACCATCTGCCAAACCACTATCTCAATTACTGTTAAGTTTATAGAAGTCATGAAATTGCTAATGTGAATACTCCATTATTTTCTTCTGCAAAATTGTTTTGGTGATTCCAGACCTGTTTTTTCATATACTTTTCAAATCAGCTTGTCAGTTTCTATGTATGTTGAAATTGTTTGTTGAAAACACAGTGAATCTATACATCAAGTTGGAGAGATTTAGTGTTTTGATAGTGAATTATTTTTCTCCAGAAACATGATACACATCTTCATTATTTACCTTTATTTCCTCTCAACAATATTTTGTAGTTTTCAGTGTATGGTTGTGTTAAACATTTTTCTGAGTATTTGATTTTTTTACATTAAGTGGATTTATAAAATTTTCTCTTTCAAATATTCTATATTATATACATATATGTTTAATTTTATATATTGCTCTGTTATCACCTTATTAATTTTACTTATTTATTTTAATAGTTATAAAATACTTCTTCTGAGTGTATTTGGATAATCTTTTTTCTTTCTCCTTATTTTTGTTAATATGATAAATTCTGTTGAATGATTTCAAAGGTAAATAAACTTTACATTCCTGGAGTAAATCCCATTTCATCAGAATATATTATGCTTTTTACAGATATTACTGGATCTGATTTGCTAATATTTTGTAAAGAATTTTGCATCTTCTCATGAGGGATATTGATTTGTAGTTTTCTTTCCTTCTAGTGTGTTTGTCAGGTTTTGGATTCAGAGTTGCTAGCTTGATGAAATGGGTTGGGATGTAATCCTTCCTCTTCTATATTTTCTAAAAGTTTTGTCAGGCCTTGTATTATTTCTTCCTTAAATGCTTTCTAGAATTTAGTGATGGTATCTGTCCCTAGAGTTTACAATATTTTGATGAATTTGCACTAATTTTGGATTTTTATTTCTTCTGCATTGGTTGTGGTAAATGGATTTTTGGGTTGTGCTCACTGATGAATCTGCCTTATCCACCTAAGTATTTAAATCTGTTAGCACATGCTTACCTTCAACATATCCTTATTTATATTCTCTTTAATTGAAATGTTTGTAAGGTGTGTAATAATACCACCTCCTTTATTCTTATATATTGAAGACTACTGTGTTTACTCTTTTTCTTTCTTCCGCTTTTTTTTGTTGTTCTCACCACCTCATCTCTCTCTAATTTTAATCAGTCTGGACGAGGATGTGTAATTATTAATATTCTTCTCAAGGTATAAACTTTTGACTTTGTTAGTTTTATTTATTTGTTTTCTAATTAATCTATTACTGCTTTTTGTTCTGCTTACCTTTATGTTCCTTCTTAAGATAGAAACTTAAATCAATTATTTGGACTTTTCTTCTTTCTAATATGAATATTTAAAGTAATAAATTTTCCTCCAAAGTGATCAATTTCCCTCTAAGCACTTTTTCAACTGAATCTTGTAACTTCTGATATTTTGTGTTGCCTTAATAACTTTTGCTTGATAACTTTGATATAACTTTTGACGAGTTAGGTTTTTATTTATTATATCATTGAAAGTGCTGTCTACTTTCCCTAAGAATTTCTGTTGTTATGCAGAAATTATTTAGAGGTGCATTGATAAATTTCCTAATGTTTTAAGATTTTCCAGGTAGCTTTTAATTACTAATTCATAATTTAATTCCACCACAGTTTGAAAATGTGTATTGTATGCATATGGCTTTTTATTTATTTTATTTATTTTATTTTATTTTTATTGAATTTATTGGGGTGACAGTAGTTAATAAAATTATACAAATTTCAGGTGCAAAATTCCACAGCACATCTTCTGTATACTGTATTTATTGTGCTTTTACCGCCCCAAGTCAAGTCTCTGTCTATCACCATTTATCTCCCCAACCTTCTCCACCTGAAATCTATGTTCTCTGATATTAGTATAGCCACATCATCTTATGTTTACTTGGTTTGTTTTTTTACCCTTTCATTTTAACCTTTGTTCTCTGTATTTAATGTGTGCATAACAATATATATATTGTTAGCTCTTCTTTCTTATCCAATATGACAATCTTTGCCTTTAGACTATTATCTTTAAGGTGATTCATTTACTGGGTTTGAGTTTACAATTATTATCTCACTATTTATTTTCTGTCAAACTTTGTTTGTATGTACCTAACTTCCAGATTTCTTCAGATGAATTAAAAACCTTTAATAGCCCTGGCTGGTGTAGCTCAGTGGATTGAGCACAGGCCTGTGAATGAAAGGGTTACAGGTTCAATCCCCAGTCTGGGCACACGCCTGGGTTGCAGGCCAGGTCCCTAGTAGGGGGAACATGAAAGGCAACCACACAATGATGTTTCTCTCACTCTCTTTCTCCTCCCCTTCTCTCTCTAAAAATAAATAAAATCTCTTTTAAAAACTTTAATATTATATTTTATGTCCATTATTGGATTACTGGGTACACCTCTTTAATAATTCATCCAGGATTTGCTTATAAGGGTCTTAGAAAATATAATTTTGTTTTCCTTTCTTCCATTGTTTGCTGTTGTTATGCCATTTACTTGTATACATGTAATAAATGCCAACATGTAAACTAAAGCATTATTATTGGTTGTGCTTTAAACTGTCTTCAGATAGAAAATGATGATGTGGTAAGATTAACCTTGTTATTTCCCTTTTCTTACAATCCTGCCTTTTTGTTTCACATATTTTGCCTCATTTTCTACTTGTTAACCATGTGATTTCTTGTTCATACTTATTTCATGAGCAGAAGTGGAGGTATCCAGTGAATTATTTATTTCATACAATACTCTTTTCTGTTCTATTATTTCCATTTGTTATCTTTTATTTTTTATTTCTTCTTCTTTTTTATTTTATTTTTCCCATTAACATTTATTCCCCTTATACCCACTCCCCACTGCAATCACCACACTGCTGTCCATGACCATGTCCATGAGTCCTTTTTCATTTTTGCTCAATCCCTTCACCTGCTAAAACCCCTCATAACTGTCAGCCTGCTCTCTGTGTATGAGTCTGTCTCTGTTTTGCTTGTTAGTCAGTTTGTTCATTAGATTCTGCATTGAGTGAAATTGTATGGTGTTTGTCTTTCTCCAACTAGCTTATTTCACTTTAGCATAATGTTCTCCAGGTCTATCCATACTGTCACAAAGGGCAAATTTATTCCTTTTTTTAATGGCCAAGTAGTATTCCATTGTATAAATGTCCCCTAGCTGTTGTGTCCACTCATCTAATGGTGGACACTTGGCCTTCTTTCATGTTTCAGTAATTGTAAGCAATGCTGCAATGAACATATGGGTGCTTATGTTCTTTTGAATTAGTGTTTTGGGTCCCTTTGGATGTATTCCCAGAAGTAGGATCACTGGATCAAAAGACAGTTCCATTATTAATATCTTTGATGTATCTCCATACTGCTTTCCATAGTGGCTGTTC